AGAATCTGATTCGCAAGTATGAGGGGCCATTTAAGATCATCGCCAAGGTAGGCAAGATCTCATACAAGCTTGACATGCCATCGTATCTTAAGATCTACCCTGTTTTCCGTGCCAGCATGATTAAGCCATATCATGAAGATAAGGATGATACAAGTAGGGGCCAATCAATTCGGGTGCCAATGACTATCACCGCCTCGCATGATCGGGAGATTGAGACTATCATAGATTACCAGGCCAGGCAAAAACAAGGGCAAAAAGCCACCTCTATGTTCCTCGTCCATTGGAAAGGGAAATCACCGGAGGAGGCCACGTGGGAATGATATGAAGACTTGTGGCAATTCAAAGATAAGATCCGAGAGTTTATGCAGCAGCATTGCGCCGCGGTCGTCGCAATATTGGGTGGGGGAGAGTGTGATGACCTGCCATGTCATCATGCCACATAGGCACCATTTGACATATATTAATGCCATGTGGAAGCTTACATAAGAAGAATGCTAGCATTTGTGAGAAGATTCTAGAGAGGTATGGACATTTCTTTAGGAAGAACCTAGATCCTTATGGATTTGCTAGGAAAGTCCTTGGAATCTTCTAAGCTTGTAGAGAATTTTAGAAAAAGCCCTTATCTTGTAAATACCAAGGAATTGTGTAATAATTAATATTTACACACTAGCCCCTAGGAGATTAGTATATAAAGGGGGCCATTCATTTGTAATTCATCATGCAAACAATTCAAGTTCTCTCTAATAAAAATCTTCCTTTAACAATTCTCTTGTGGTCTTTCTTCCATTCTCTTAGCGATCTTGAGTGTAGTAAGGCTGACTTGACATAGCAAGAACGTGAGCAAGTTGTGCAAGATCGTGAGCGAGTTATCAAGTGTCGCACGTGTACGTAGTTAACAACTAAGGACGTGACATATTGCTCTTTTGGTAACTCGAACCCTTCGAATTATACGTGGGGGTACTGACCATTTGAGTAATTCCCGTTTGTCAATTAGACTATAACTTGACCTAGTTTTTTTAAAAAAAAATTATGCACAAGGAATAGAAAAAGGAGAAGAAGAGAGACGATTATTAACTCGATTATATACATAAACTTCCACCTTGTTTAACCTAGTTATTTAACGCTTTTTTGAGGTTGGGGAGACTTGGGACGTTGTCATTTTTCAAGTTTAGTTTTATTGATTGATGTACAATGTTATGAAAATAGCCTCATAGTACTTTAAAAAGGTGTTGATATTTTTTTAGACATATTTTAAAAAGAAAAATATAGCAAATATATTAGGAGGCTCACCTTAATTATCTAAGTCCTAGGAAGCTCATTTGCACACTCTTCTTCCTGTTTTTAAGCACACTATTTATTTTTGAATTTCTATACATATTTGACCTCAACGTAAGAGAAAGAAAAAAGAAGAAAGTAAAAAAGAAAGAGAGAGATGAATACACTGGGTGTTTTGAAAATCAGAGTACGCAGAGGGATTAATCTTGCAGTGAGAGATGCTTTTGGTAGTGATCCTTATGTTGTCATCACCATGGGCGGCCAGGCATGTTCTTTCTCTCTCTAAATATTATAGTTTCTTTTTTCTTTTTATTTTTGTATCAATCAATGCTTTTGCATGGTTTTCATGAATCTGTTATTGAAATTATATATGTTATTTGTGGAATTATGGTGGCTATTTTTTGAATTATTTTTCATTTGTTTCATATCCACAAACAAAGACCGAATCTTCGTTAGATTTGCTACACACATATCCCAAATTAAGAGGAGTGAAGATATGCTTTTAATTGTTGTCTTCACGAGGTTTAATTTGAGAGTTTATCTTTTTTACATTCTGTGTTGTCACATGAATGTGAGGAGACCATATTTTCCAATTTATGCAATATTTTCTAATATAGGAGTGTGACCTATCCTTGCTTCTGATATTGTTCCTAATTGTATTCTATAGAAAGTGAAGACTCGAGTTATTAAAGAGAATATCAATCCTGTATGGAATGAGGAGTTGAGCCTTGCACTCTACGATCCCAGCCTTCCTATTACTTTAGTAAGTATCCTCCTCAATTTAGCTGAATTTATATATAAAAAGTTGAGGCTTATACAATATAGATTTGACGATGAACTTCACGTACTTGACCAAAAAAAAAGTCATTAAACTTGTACGTGAGGGTCGTGTTGGGGCAGAGGCGGACCCAAAATTTAAAGGTTACAGGTGCACTTTTGGATTCAACCAAAATCTGTTTTGTATATAGTGTACTCACTACTTGTATATTACTATTTTCTAAAAACATGTACATGTATACATGTAATTTTTACCGAATTTTACGAGTGCCGGCGACCCCTCTTTATATAATATAGGTCCGCCTCTGGCTGCAGGCTTAAAACAGGAAACAAATAATGTATCTCGTTATTAATAGTTTAAACTTATTGATGGGATGATTATACAATTCAACAAGAACTTGACTCAAATGAATAGCTTACATGGGTTGTCTGAATATTCTTTTTTTGTAGACGGTGTATGACAAAGATACGTTCACTGCAGATGACAAAATGGGAGATGCCAAGATAGATATAAAACCCTATATTGATGCAATAAACATGGGATTAGAAGGACTCCCAGATGGTGTCAGGGTGGATAGAGTTCAGCCAAACAGGGACAATTGCCTTTCTGATGAAAGTTGCATAGTATGGGAGAATGGAAAGATGACACAAAACATGATTCTTAGATTGCAACATGTAGAATGTGGTGAAATTGAGATTCAAATTGAATTGATTAATGCTCAAGGTCGTAGAGGTGGCCTTTACATCTAAAAAAAATACTTTTGTTTAGTTTTAATATATGTAAGCTATCAATTTTGACATATAAATTTATATAACTATATTCGTTACTGTTGTAACTTGTAAGTAATATTAATTTTTTGTTTTGTTTATTGTATTGGCATTGAGCATACTGTATGGGTCCAAATTTGACCGACCACGACCGACGACGAGTACGACGATTAACAGAGTCTCCTCGAATTGACGCCCTGAGGGAGACGACCCTGAGACAAACCAGAGACGGGACGACCCTTGTAATAATGTATGGCTATCAGGGGACATTGGGTATATTCCTTTGAATATTCCTTGTATTTTGCCCTTTACAGTTTAGAAGAATTTCTCTCTTAGTATAAAAGGAGGACAATAACCTTGTAACCGGTATTAAAAACTCTGGAGACATTACTATTTTTATGAATGAAAAGAAACCTCGTGACCTATCTTCTCCTTATTTATCGATCTTTCTAGAGATTATTATCCTCAGCTAAGATTTACCCCTTCATCTTTGATTGATTTGTTCAAAAAGGTCTTAATATCTTTTGAGTCAAACAATTTGGCGCCGTCTGTGGGGATTTCTATAGCTGAAATCGTAGTTTTCATCTAGATTCTTGAAAGAAATAATCACCTTTCTTCAGCTCCATAAAAGCCAACGATGGCGGAAAAGGGAGAAGCGAGGCTAAAGGCAATAGAAGGTGTCACAAACAACTTCCTGAATTCCCTCAACGAAGTCGGAAGAGAAGACAATGAGAATGCAACACCAATCGTTACACCTGAAGGAGAGATCTCACCTCCTCCACACGGGGATCTAACGATCTTGCGCAAGAGGGAAACCTCAACATCCGCAGTAGGAGAAGCGCCACCGGCTGTCAAAAGGCTACTAGAAGAATGGTTAACGAGTACCTTGAGAAACATGCTCGAGAAACCCATTCAGGGAGGTGTCGAAGGCTACCCACAGAAACCGTAGCTGCTGCCGATGAGCCAAAAGCTACACGAACAGGTAACACCCGTACTGTTACTGATACAGGCAACGACGCACTTACGGCCATCTTAAAGAAAATGGAAGAGATGGAAAATGAGAACAAAACACTCCGCGACTAGATGAAAGAGCATCAGGAGAGGTACCAGGCGCTCCGAAGTTGTTACCAAAATGCGATGTGGGCCTATTCGTCGAACAACCATACAGCGAAGGGGCGGCTCCTTTGACAATTCTGATTTTGGATAGATTCGATGTGAGTGGAGGCCGATTTGAAGGGCAAAGGCATCGCGGAGTAGTATTTTCACCAATTTGAGGTAAGTAACCATTGTAAATCTGGAACTGAGGGTACAAACCCCGGTATTTGACTTGTTTTGATAAATGCGGTGACGCACATGCTAGGTGACGAGCGTGTGGGCGTGCACCGGTAGGGATTGTCACTTGGTCCGTCCGTTAGCAACTATTAAGCCGCGTATTTGATTTGGAACCTTATGATATTCCGTATTTTAGGTATTTATACTATATTATGGGTTGTATGCCATGTTTGGGGCCTTATGCCGACCTGTTGAGACCTTTAGGGGTATTTTTACTATTTTTCCTCACTCTACTTGTTGAAAGCATATCCTCAGTCATGTTTTACTTGTTTAAATGTTTAAAACTAGTTTTATCACTCTACTTTAAAATGTGAGGACTGTTTGGGCTGAGTTCCCTAATTTCTATTGTTGAGCCCGAGAGGCTGTGAGATTAATGACTGAGAGTGGTTGAGAACCTAATAGTGAGGATATTGTATGTATATTATAGATCGGGCTGCACGCCGCAGCAATACTTATACGGATCGGGATGCACGCCGCAGTGATATATATTTGATCGGGTTGCACGCCGCAGCGATATATATATTGGATCGGGCTGCACGCTGCAGTGATATGTATATTGGATCGGGCTGCACACCGTAGCGATATGACGCTTGGGCTGTAGGAGCTCCTCCGGAGTCTGTACACCCCGAGTGAGCGTAGTCGACTATTAATTATGGATCATGTTGCATGCCACAGCAGTTACTATGATTTCTATTACTATGACATATTAATGAGCCTGAGTGCTGAGAGTGAGTATTGAGTGACGAAAGTTGACTCATGAATGACTAAGAGGCTGCCCGAGGGGCCATATTCTGAGTGATACCTTGCCCGAGGGGCCAAGTTATGTTATTTTCACTGATTTCACTCTTCTTTTAAAATAAGCCTCTATGGAAAAATTGCTAAGTATATGGTTTCAAGTGTTTAAACTGAAATTTGATGATTTTTCAACGAAACTAGTTTTAAACTGTGGAGTTGACCTATTATCCTGTTGTTTATTCAGTTATATGATTTTTAACTGCCCGTCACTGCTTTCAGACCTTATTTACTTTAGTTACTTACTGAGTTGGTGTGCTCACGTTACTCCCTACACCTTGTGTGCAGATCCAGGTGCCCAAGTGGCAGAGTGAGGGTCCTCAGCTGATCCATAGGTTGCCGGAGATTTCAAGGTTGTTGCATGGCGTCCGCAGCCCTGTTTTCTCCTTCTTATCTTGTTCTTTCCACATTTTCTAAACTTATGTTGTATCAGACAGTCAGTTGTGTAGTAGAGGCTCTAGACTCATGACACCAGATACTTGGGGGCTGTGTAGTTTTCATGTTTATTTGACTTCTGCATATGTAATTGTGTTTTAAACGCTTATTATGATAATTTGGTATTTAAAAACCTGTGTTAGAAAATGGCTTACTATAAGGAAAAAGGGTTGTGATTAGATGAATGAGTTGGATTGCCTAGTAATATGATAGGTTCCATCACTACTGGTATTTGGGGTCGTGACAAGTTGGTATCAGAGCCTAGGTTACATAGGTCTCGCGAGTCATGAGCTGGTTTAGTAGAGTCCTGCGGATCGTATGGAGACGTCTGTATTTATCCTCGAGAGGCTATAAAATCTTTAGGAAAATCTTCATATTCTTGAAATTCTTGTCGTGCAAACTTTTTGATCCGAATACTAAACTTTTGCTATTCCACTCTCTCACAGATGGTGAGGACATGTACTATTGGTCAGGATGGACGACCACCAGTTCCACCAGTTGGGGCCACCAGAGGCCGAGGATGCGGTCGAGGCCGTGGTAGGGGTAGAGCAGCTAGGGCAGCACTAGCAGATCTACCAGCTGCCCCAGTTTAGGATCAGGTTCCAGTTGTGGACGCTACAGTAGCACCAGCTCAGGCACCAGCTGTGCCCATTGTGATTCTAGGCCTTCAAGAGGCTTTAGCTCAGATCTTATCAGTGTGTACTGGTTTGGCTCAGGCGGTTTCAGTTACTACAGTCGTAGCTACTTCCCAGGCTGGGGTAGGTACCCAGACTCCCGTTGCTCGCACACCTGAGCTGGTTATGCAAGGACTCCAGACACCGGGGGCACCTCCAGCCTAGCCGGTTGCACCAGCTCAGGAGTTTGTGGTACCAGTTATGCGGGACGATGAGCAGCGTCAACTAGAGAGGCTTGGTAGACTCAAGCCTCTGACTTTTAGTGGTGCAGAGGGCGAGGATGCCTAGGGTTTCTTAGATAAGTGACAGAGGATGCTTCGTACAGCGGGGATTCTAGAGACTAGTGGTGTAGCTTTTACCGCCTTTCAATTTTCTGGGGTTACCTTCACTTGGTGGGAGGCGTATGAGAGGCGTAGGCCTGTTGGTGTAGTGCCCCTTACTTGGTAGTAGTTCTCTGTTCTCTTTCTGGAGAAGTATGTGTCACAGTCTCGCCAAGAGGAGTTGTGTAGGCAGTTTGAGCAGTTGCATCAGGGAGAGATGACTGTGACGCAGTATGAGATGTGGTTATCTAAGTTAGCCTATCATGCGGTTTGGTTGGTTCCCACGGATCGAGAGAGGATTATGAGGTTTGTTGATGGTTTCACGTATCAGCTTCGGATTCTCATGACTAGGGAGAGGGTGACAGGTGATACTTTCGAGGAGGTTATGGATATTGCCCGTGAGATTGAGTCTGTTCGTCACTAGGAGCAAGAGGAGAGAGAGGCCAAGAGGCCTCGAGGATCTAGTAGCTTTAGTGGTGCTCCTTCGAGGGGTCAGTTCCAACAGGTCAGAGGCCGCCTATTTAGGTAGGCTCATTCAGCTCGCCCAGGGTATCGTGGGGCATCTTTAGGTCATGGTTCTTATAGTTCTCATCAGAGCCACTCATCACTTAGTGCCCTTCCAGCCTAGAGTTCGTCCTGTGCTCCATTAATTCAGGTTTCTTCCATGCCAGGTCCTTCTACTAGTCATTCCAGTGCCAAGGGTTCCCTTCATCCCCATCTCCAGCATCAGGGAGTTGTTATGAGTGTGGAGAGTTTGGGCATATGAGGAGGCAGTGTCCTTATCTTCATGATGGTCAGTCTCAGAAGAGGGGTCAGCCCTCGACTTCTGCTCCAGTTACTTCACCACCCGCCCAGCCAGCTAGGGGTGGAGGTCAGGCAGCCAGGGGTCGCCCTAAAAAGGGAGGTCGATCAAGTGGTGGTCAGGGGATGTTTCTATGCTCTTCTGGGTAGACCAGATGTTGCTGCTTCAGATGTCGTGATATCAGGTATTGTTTCAATATGCCATAGAGATGCCTCTGTATTATTTGATCCCGGTTCCACATTTTTTATATGTCATCATACTTTGCCCGTTATCTGGATACGCCGTGAGTCTCTTATTTCACCTGTTCATGTATCTACTCCAGTGGGCGATATTGTTGTTTTAGACCGTATGTACCGGTCGTGTGTGGAAACTATTAGGGGTTTAGAGACCCGAGTTGATCTTTTATTACTGTGTATGGTGGATTTCGATATCATTTTGGGCATGGACTGGTTATCTCCATGTCGTGCTATTCTGTACTGTCATGCCAAGACAGTCATATTGGCTATACCTGGTGCGCCACGGATTGAGTGGAGAGATTTGACTGACTATGTTCCCAGTAGAGTGATCTCATTCTTGAAGGCTCAGCGTATGGTTGGGAAGGGATATCTTTCGTATCTAGCCTTCGTGAGGGATGTCGATTTTGAGACTCCCGGTATTGATTCTATTCAGTTGTGAAGGATTTTCCCGATGTGTTTCCTGCAGACCTGCTGGGCATGCCACCGGATAGGAACATTGATTTTGGTATTGACCTACTGCCGAGCACTCAACCCATTTCTATTCTGTCGTATCGTATGGCACCTGCGGAGTTGAAGGAATTAAAAAAATAGCTTCAGGAACTCCTCGATAAGGGGTTCATTCGGCCTAGTGTGTCACCATGGGGTGCGCCGATTCTATTTGTGAAGAAGAAGGATGGCACTATGAGGATGTATTAATTACAGGCAATTGAACAAAGTAACAATTAAGAACAAGTATCCTTTGCCTTGTTTTGATGATTTATTCGACCAGCTTCAAAGAGCGAGAGTGTTCTCCAAGATTGATCTCTGTTCGGGTTATCACCAGTTGAAGATCAG